GGACTCCTAAATCCGTATGCTCTTTTTGGACTTCACATCTGCCTTCAACATCATGATTCCCCAGTCCTTGATGGATAAACTAATCACACTAGGACTAAGTTCCTCTCTATGCAACTGGGTCCTAGACTTCTTAACCAACAGACCACAATCTGTGAAGATCCACAACTTCTCTTCCTCCACCATAACCCTCAGCATGGGCTCCCCCCAGGGCTGTGTGTTGAGCCCCCTCCTGTCCACTCTGTTAACGTATGACCGCGTACCGACCCACCCAGGTTGTTATATTGTAAAGTTTGCAGACAATACAGCGGTAGTTGGATGCATCAGAAACAATGATGAGTCCAGCTACAGGCAGGAGGTGGAACACCTGGAGAGCTGGTGCAGGACGAACAACCTTCACATCATTGTACATAAGATGAAGGAGATGGTCGTGGACTTCAAAAGCAATAAACACACCTGTACATAGTTTTGTTCCACCTCATGTATCACATGTGATGTTAACGTCAATAAAAATCCTTGTATCCTTCAGCTTTCACTGCAGCGGTTTGCAGTCGAGTGTGAAGTGGCTGGGATGAGAATCAGCACCTCCAAATCTGAGGCCATGGTCCTCATCCAGAAAAGGGTGGATTGCTCTCTTCAGGTCAAGGGTGAGGTTCTGCCTCAAGTGGAGGAGTTCAAGTATCTCGGGGGTTTTGTTCACGAGTGAGGGAAGAATGGAGTGTGAAATTGGCAGACAGATTGGTGCAGCATCTGCAGTGTTGCAGACTCTGTACCAGTCCGTTGTGGTGAAGGAGCTGAGCTGTAATGCACAGTTCTCTGTTTACCAGTCAGTCTACGTTCCTACACTCACCTATGGTCAACAGCTCTAGGTAGTGACCGAAAGAATGAGATTGCGGATACAAGCGGTTCAAATGAGTTTCCTCTGCTGGGTAGCTGGACTCTCTCTTAGAAATAGGGTGAGAAGTTCAGTTATCCGGGAGAGAATCGGCGTAGAACCACTGCTCCTCCTCATCGAGAGGAGCCAGTCGAGGTGGTTCAGGCATCAGGTAAGGATGCCCCCATGACACCTCCCTAGGGAGGTGCTTCGGGCATGTCTGACTGGACCCGGGGAAGACCCAGGACATGCTGGAAAGACTTTGTCTCTCGGTTGGCCTGGGAACGCCTTGGGCTCCCCCAGAACAGCTAGAAGAGGTGGCTGTAGAAAGAGATGTCTGGGCCTCCCTGCTCAAGTTGCTGCCCCTGCGACCCGAGTTCGGAACAAGCGAAAGATAATGGACAGATGGATGGATACTGGCGTCAGCTCAACTGGCACAGTATAGTCTATAAAAAGGTCACTTGGCTTTTTTTTAGCATTTCTAGTTTTCATTTTATAAAGCTGCAAAAGTAAACATTTATTACATCCAGAAACCTGCAGAGGAAACAAAATTAAAAATAATAACCCAATGTTAAACTAAAAATCTTAAAGACCCTATAACAATGGGTAATTGATGGAATTATGATTTTGTCATATATGCAAAGTTATCAAGGGTTTATGGTAGAATCATTCACTTTTCAGGCTCAATGATCTAAATCAAAGCTTAATTTCTGTTTTGTTCAGGTGTTTAAGGAATAAGTCTGCAGTACATTTAAAATAAATTAAGATGCGTGGAATAATTGCACATACACTGCAATTTTGGGCTGACTCAAATTAAAGGATGTCAATGTAAAATGATCTTGTTAAAAATTATTAATAGTAGTAAAAGTGTTCCACAGAAAGAGAGGTTTGCAGCTTGTTTGACAAAGAGAACATGGAGACCAATCTCAGAGTGTTAAAATTTTAGATCTACCAACCTGCAGTGTTTCTGGTACAGTACTCCTAACTAACAAACATAGCATCAAATGGTGGGTTAACCCAACACTGACACAGTCACACTCAGACAGATGGAAGCATAGCCCAAACTGTGGAAACAAAAAATGAGGATGAGCTGTGTGGGACAAAACCTCGATTGAATGATTTTTCTTCCATAACTACAGTACAACAGGAAAGAGGAAAAAAATTGCAAAAACACCACGGTGTCTGAGTGAGAAACAAGTCGGTCAACACATTAAACCAAAATATTCAGCTGTTATTTTTTTGGTCTCACCTCAGTAAAACCTAATTAATGTTGATGTGACTCTTGAATCTTACCCTACAACATTTCAGTAAGTATAATCGTAGTTTACCAATGCAATTGCAAAGTAAACTTGCTGCCTGTTTCAAAATGTGTATTGCAATAAATTCATAAGATGGCTAAACAACATTCAATGTGTGATTTGATAAAACTGTCTACAAACTACACTTTATTAATCATTCTACCAAATAATGGACTGTTTGGTTTAGAGTATTACTTTGTAAAATAAAAATAAAAAAGGTTTAAAAAAATGTTGTCAGTTTTGTTGAAAGGGCCCAACTTTCACAACATCAGAAGACCAAGGAATGGTAAAAAGATACATTTCAAAAATCACAACAGAAAGCAGCTTCTTCACAACAAATAACCAGTCAACAACAAGAGGAGGCCATCAACACAAAGACTTAGGACCACTGGATTGAAAACCTGTCCAACAGGATGCTGACACAGCCAGAGATGGATGTGCTGGCTAAAGGCCTGAATTTTGCCATTTCTCCACAGGAAATGTCCAATGTGGAACTTATCACTGTCACTGAATCTGCCATCAGGAACAACAACCTGATTTAAACAGAGACCGAACAACTCAGGATGAAAGATAACAGCAACCCTCCGCAGTGTCAAACCACCTCCTTCAAATCTCACACAACAAAAAAGGAGAGCTATAACATCAATTAGTCAGGACCAAAACATCACCATTTTACCAGCTGGCAAAGGAAGATGAACAGTGGTCCTCAGTACTTCCGATTACCAGGAGAAAACATCCACACAACTGACTGACACCATTACAGGAACCCAGCCAGCAAATAAAAAAAGAACATCACATACTACCTCCAACAACTTGAAAAAGATAAGTTAATCAATCATTCATTTTACCACAGATTGTATCCAGGGGGAACCATTCCATGCTTATATGGACTTCACAAAATCCACAAAATAGGAACATCACCATGACCCATCAGCAGCATAAACTCAGTGACATATAATACTGAAAAACATCTTGCTAGTATTTTAGCTCATCCTGTGGGAAACACAACACATCACATCTCCATTAACTTTGCGAACAAAGTTAAACATTTGAAGATGGCACCAGGCGAAACTTGTATCTTTTGATGTTACATCACTTTTCACTTGTATATCCATATCAGAGGCGGCAGAAACCATCAAGAAACGTCTTCAGCAAATATACTGACCTTGGCAACAGGACCAGTTTCACACCGGAACAGATCTGTACCCTGACGGACTTTTGTCTCTCCACAACTTATTTCAAGTTCAATAACAACTGACTGAAGCATGGTTGTGCCATGGGATCTCCAGCGTCACCGATTGTGGCCAAACACTACATGAAGAAAATGGAACAGAGACCTCTGGACTACTTCAAGGGAACAACACCAAGCCACTGGTTCAGATATGTGGATGACACTTGGGTCAAAGTTCATGCAAATGAAGTAGATGTGTTCATCAGACACATCAACTCTGTGGACAACAACATCAAGTTTCCCAGAGAGAATGCCACATCAAGCTGCCTTTTCTGAGCTATTTGTTGAACACAGAAAGAGATAGAAGCTCAACATTGAAATTTACATGAAACCTACTCACAGATTAAAAAAAAAAAAAAAACTTCTGTTCGACTCTCACCACCCACTAGAACACAAACTTTCTGTCATTAGAACTTTACACCACAGAGCCGAACATGTCCCCACAAAGACAGAAGGGAAGGAAAAGGAACAGAAACACACCAAAGAAGCTCTCCCAACTGGGCCTTTGTCAAATCAGCAAATAAATAGGAGGAATGGTGGCGCAGAGGTTAGAAAAGGTGGGCCTGTGATTGGAAGATCGCAGGTTCACGACCCGGTACCGGGGCTCACCCTCTAGGTGAGCGTAGGAACGTAGACTGACTGGTAAACAGAGAACTGTGCATTACAGCTCAGCTCCCTCTTCACCAACTTGTCCTGATGTATGATCAATAATCCAGGAAGATAAATCTAATAAGGTTGAGTCAGGTCCTCTGAACGGATTCTTCTTTGTTGAAAAAGGTTGTTAAACAACCTCTCCACTGACACTTGGTTCAACACCAGATATCTAGTTCTTCAGGACAAGACAGCAGTCCATCTACATCTGAAGGATAAAGGACATGCTTTGGGAAAGAAAGTGAAACATCTTCAACTTCAGAATAGAAGTCCAGTTCCTTTTGGGTTTGTTAACCCTTTTTTGGATTTATCATGACATGGATGACTGCTAATCTTCACCAGCATACTGTGTAAACTAAAGTAACTAAACTAATAAAAGCTTTATTTAAGTCAAAAGTAATAATAGAACGTGTTTTTATTTTATTTTTAAATAATAACAGAATGGGACATTTAGAAAAATGGTTTACAGAGTAATCAATAACTTCATAGTCTCTAAGGAGTCATTCTTGTAAAGCCTAAACATACAGTTTTCTAGTTAGCCTACATTTTTATATTTAGTGATTTTATTTTGACAGCAGTGATGCACAGAGGAAAAACGTAAAATTAAAGTAATAGCAAGAAAGTAGACACAGCCTTAAATGTACAGTAACTTATTTGGTATTGGGGCGTTTTTATTATTTTTGTCAATATAATGAAACATGGAAAACCCTAAAACTTTCTGTAAAAAAGCAAAGAAATGTCCTTTAAGGATGTTAATGTACAGGTTTCTCCACTGTGTGAATCAAGAACAATGTATAGAGAGAAAGCAATTTAGAGGCAGATACAACACAATGATAAAGTCACTTTCGTTTGGCTGGATAGATTAAGGTTTAAGAAAGTTCTTCAGACTGTCTCTTCACATTAACCTCTATATTTATGTGGCAAATGGAAAACTGAACCAGTCTCCTACCTGTTCGATCTCGAATGGCGAGGTTTTTCCCTTTCTTAAGAACAACGTCCAGCTGGTACATGGCTGGACATGGAGGCTGAGGCTGGGACTCAGCATTACTAGGTCCCACGATGCTGATGCCCTGTGAACATCATAAATTCACAGGTTACACAAGTTCAAACTTTAGGTTACACGAACGTAGGTCTATCAGTACTTTCTTGATTACTGAGGCATTAAATTTAATAACAAAGAATTGCTAATATAAAAGGCGTTGTCCGTCAGACCTTGTTATGTAATTTAGGGGAAAAACAGAACTTATGCCAGACATTTAAAGATATAGTGCATATGTAAATACTAACACTCTTTACATATGATCTGCACGCAATTAAAATCTACCAGACTTCAAAATCTTGTAGTCACACTGCAGATTTAAGAGTGGTGCTATGGAAATATATTACCCCAGACAAACTATTAAAATAAAACTCATAAACATTGCTGTTTGACAGGTTATTCTGCTGATTTGATTCTGTGGCTAATTTTCTGGCATTTTTGTTTTTGGGTTGTGTCCAAAATGCAAAAGAAGCATTTTGCTGCTGTAACTGTACACTATGATTAAAGCAAAGCATACATTAAAAATAACATGTTTGTGGATTGTATATGTCGTGCTGTGGAAACTACTGACAATAGTCATATGCAGCTTTTTCTGGAAAGCTCTAAGCATGAAACTCTCGGTCAGTTCTTTCTCTTCGGATTTGCGTGTCATGCTGTAGCCCTGAGGTCAGTGATGTCCTTCACTCCAATTTGGCCCCAAGGGCTCTAACTGTGTGGAGCTCATTTGGAAGCCACTGACAAAATAAACTAAGCTCTGCTCTGGTATACACAACTGTCTTAGACTTTGTCACATCGTTTTTCCACCATGCTCATTTATTTTGTCTTTCCATTAGCATGTGTAATTGTCTCGTGTTTCACCAGCTACTGGCTCAAAGATGAAGTTAATATTAGGCTAATAACTGCAAAATATTCTCAAAAACTAAAAGGCTGCCAGCAGAATGCTACAAAACTATGAAATTAAAAGATGCAGAGAGATAAGCATGTGAAACTGCAAGGATGTAAAATAGTAAAAAGATGCTCAACCCATGTATTCATTGCTTTGTTCCTAGTGAGGATGTCATTTCTTAAAGGGTTTTGCAGCTCAGTTTCTCCCCACAACAATTCTGAGCTGCCTTTAAATGTAATGCACAAAGTAAACCAGGTCTATTTTGATGCCTTTGAAAATGTCTGTTGATTCATGAACAATAAAATGCTCCGTGTTTCTCTGTGTATGAAAGGTCAAATCATTCAGACTGAAAAACAAATGGTTCACACATAGAAGCTGTGTTCCCCCCAGTCTCAGAGACAAGACGAAGCAGAATGAAACTAGGAATCTGTATGAATACAAAGTCATGTGAAGAAGAGCTGACAGTAAAAAAAAAAGACAGTCTGTGAAGAAAACAATGTCAAAAATATGTATTAAAAATAAATATAACAGCATTGCAATCCATCCATTCATCCATTCTCATATGTTTATCCAAGACAATCACAGGGGACAGTATGGAGGATGGAATGTGACAAAATTAAATAAATCCATTATTAAATGTACCATTTAATTATTCAATACATCATTAAATAGTTAAATTATTAAATACACAATGAAATGTTCCATGAAATAAATAAACCTTTCAAATTGTTTATTTCGTGATGCATTTATTTATTTAAGTCACATTGTCACGTTCAGGTTTAGATTCAGAATAAGCCAGACACAGGAGTACAAAAGAACAGTTTTTATTTATATTTGGCTGGTGAGAAGTCAGGATCAGCTGCGTTGACAGGTCTTTACAGGCAGGTGGAGAGTGAGAGGCACCTGTCAATTCTGCAGCGATGACATCACTGGTCCTGTTGCAGAGCAGCTGCAGAGAAAAGCTGCAATAATGTGGTTCGAGGGGCAAATCCAATAACGGGGTCCAGTTGCCGAAGCAGGGGTCATGAACAGGAAGGAAGAGAGCAGAAACTAGAGCCAAGTCGTGATCTGAGGCGCAGTCGTGACAATCAGAAACGGGGTCGATACTGTGGTCAGAAAGTAGAGTCCAAAACCAGATGAGGTGTAGGCAAAAACAGGAAATCCAAAAGGCAAGTCGTGAGGTCCAAAACCCAGAGAACAAGGCATGAATGTCAGGCACAAACAGGAACAAGAATAGATTGATATTAAGGACCATGGGAGGTATAATAATTCAGCCGGGACAGAGAGTGAGCTTGAAACTTAAATAGAGAGCTGAAGAGGTGCATGAAATGAAGGCTGATTGCTGTGCTTAGGCTGAGGGGGCGTGGTGAACGATTGACTGACAAGAGCTGATGTGAGCAATGATGGGTGACAGGCAAAACAAAGCTGAGGAACAGAAATCTTGGCAAGAGGGGCAGAAACTTTGGCAGGAGGGACTGAGAGTGAGACAGGAGACGTGAACATGTCATGAAGGGGCAGAGATGTGTAGAAACATGGCATGAGGAGCAGAGGCATGAGTAGATAAGGGGTCAGCAGGGGGCTTCTGACCATTACACACATTCCACCTTCCATACAAAACAACATCCTTACCAGATGCTCAAACCACCTCAGCTGGCTCATTTTGTTGTGGAGAAGCAGCAATTCTCTGACCTCCTCCCAAACATCTAAGTTCTTCTCCCTTAAGGATGAGTTCAGCCACTTTGAGGCAAAAGTAATTTCATAGTTTTGTTCAATATCCAATCATGATCATAGGTACAGATTGAAAATATGACCAATTAGTAAATTGTTTTACCTTTTGGTTTAGTTTTAGTTTCACCATGACAGATCAGAACAGTGTTTGTATCACTACACTTGTCTGAATCCATCTATCAGTCTTCTGCTCTTTTCTACTCGAATCGCCAACGAGATCAAGAGATGACTGAAGTCTTTTGTATCAACATTTCAAGCTTTTACAGAGTTTGTTTGTAAGGAAACAGTGTGCCAAGACGTTTCTTTGCATTAGGGATGAGAACTTTTGAATAACACTTTTTCACAACAGTTTAAATTATACACATCTTAGACTTTCTACATTGTAAAAAGTTTAAAATCAACAGATTGTAATGCAAATGTGGTTGAATTAAAACAATAAACAAATCCAGGTTAAACTGGTAGGTCTTTTATTTTATTTTATTTTTCATAAAGTCCAGTCATTTAGTCTTTTTTTCCACAATATCCTCTGTTCAAATAGATAAACTATGTTTTGCATGCATTTTTTTTAACTGGCTTGTCCATCAAAACAGCTACACATCTTTGAACAAAGTTTACTGTATAATCTTAAAATTTAAGTTTTTTTTCTTCATACGGCCATTAAAGCAGTGAGATAAAACTTTGAAAGTTAACAAGTGCATCAGCTCGACGAATACCTAAAAAATCAGACATGAGCATAAAGAGACAAAAGGAGCTCCAGCTGTTTGATTGGATGAAGTTAACTTGGGATCAGCAGTGCACATATAGGTGTCTGCATTTAAACATTTTGGGTTTGTGTGTGTGTGGCTTTGTGCATGCAACAAGGACTGCACTAAGGATGCTGAGGTCAGGTTAAGTAACATTAAACCATTTCGTCTAAATACACCCAACAAACAAAAGCTAAACATCATGTGCTCTTATTTGCTTTTATTTGCTTTCAACCTCCTCGTCAAATCTTAAAAAGACAAACACAGACCCAAACATAATGTGTGCAAATTGAAAGTGATTTGCTAACAGCTGATGCACGTGATGGTGCAGAACTGAATCAACTACAACAAGCAAACATTAAAAAAAAAAAACTGTAGGGAATCAAGATTCAAATGTACTTTAAACTATAAAAGGGGGAAGGGCTGTGAAAAACCTGGGATATTTTAACACCACAGACTGGGTCAGAAAGGCAACCCACAGATCTGTGTTCTTCAATTGGACGTTTTGCTGGGTTCTTCCTTTGGGACACACTCAGAGGGGAAAATCCACCTCCGCTCTCTCCCTTGGGTCACTTTCAGCCCTCACATGTGAATATTGATGCCACAGCTGAAAAAGGGTCATGTAGCAAATACCCATACTACATTTATACTCTGAAAGTATTGCTCTGTGCTTTATGAAACTCTGACAGAGATTTATTGTGTTTATGCACTTTGCAACGCTGTTGGATAAAAAAAAGCCAAGCTTATAATTTTATTTAAAGGAAGAAGCAGGTGGATGGGTGGATGTTTTTGTCCAATGAAAATCATTTATAAAGGCATGCAGACGATGAATTAAGTTATTATAATTTAATGTGATCATGATCCTTGCGCATGTGTACATGAGCATGAATATATCTGCATCGAAAGCATCTAGCATGTTTTCTCGTTAAGCGATTTTTGACTTTATGTGGCATAAATCCAGACGAATTCAACCTGAAGAATATTTATATAATTAAATGTAGTAGACTGCAACACAACAAAGTGCTTGAAGTATCTGGAAACAGGTCTTCAGGACACTCCAAACTGAATCCTGAACAACTCCATTGAAATATCAATGAACATCTGTGCCATTTTCAATTAACTGAGCAGTTATTTTTTTTCAAGGGATGAGTTGGGTTGAACATTGTTCTGCAGGTATTGATTCTAACGTTATATATCCTGCAGAGAGTTGAACTGCCTTGCTTGCACAACAGCAGTGTCCTCCTGACAAACATTAGTGTAATATACGGTGCCCAAAGTCGATGAAGCGGAGAACAAAAGCATTGGGAGTAGATTATAGGGACATAAAGCAGTGAGCCTTATCTGAGCTCTGAGACATGTTAAAAAGCTTCACAAACCATTTAGTTCAACAGCTTCACCTTTAGTGGCTTTCCTGACCCTAATTATGTTATCCTGTACAACAGATGTCCCACAGGTCTGCACACGCCGCGCTACAGGTTAATCACAATGACAGCTTCTGAAACACTACATATAACAATTACTTTAAACTTAATTGAGCCTGGTGGTGTTGTTGTCTTACAGATATGCTTTATTCTTATTTTAACAAAGATCAGACTGATTCCATCACTTGGTTCTGTCTCGTTCCAGGGATGTTCTTGACATTTCTTTTATATGTTTTGCAACAACTGTGTTTTT